TTCCATTATCGGAATATATAACTAAGGGTCTGCCGGATTTCATACTTGGCCGGTAACAAATACACCACAATAAAGAGAAAAGATGGCATTAAAGACAATTGAAATATATCATATAGAAGAAAAAAAAATATTTAAAACTTGTCTCACTTAGTCAACACTAAAATTTTTGTATAAAAATTTCTGCAATTTGTGAGTCAATAGCAGAAACATCTGATGCAATATTCCTGCTAAATTTTGCATACAGTTTTGTATACCCTGTATACATTGCACCCTCATGACGTGAAATATACAAAAATGAACAAATGTAAATTTTTTTAACCGCAAAAAGGGTGCGTTTCAAGTTTTTATGCAAATTATAATAAAATACAATTTTTCTACATATAATTACAAATACAAAAAGAGATAAAATCATAAAAAAACAATCTAACTTCATAAATTAATCACTAACTCATTATCAATAAAAAAAGTAAGTAATGATATAAATATGAAAGGCAAATTAAATATAAAAAAAAACTAATTTATCTGAGTAGGTTCCATATTTGATGATAATAATAAATGCTATAATTTAATTTTATTATTACATTTATTAGTATCTCTGCTATGCACAGATACTCTGCATTACAGGTGCTAGATTATATATAAAAAAAAATCTTTTTAAAAATGCTAAATAATCTTACAAAATAAACTAATGAATATTTCTAAAAATAAAATATAGAAAATAAGACAACTGGGTAGGACTATACTCTTTAAGTAAGATTTTTTAGTATTTCCATTTTTTGATGCATATTAATTAAAAAATTATAGCAAATTTATTTTAAAAAAAAGTAAAATGATACAAAAAGTAAGCCTTATTGTCCTCAAATCTCGTCGATGGGGAATATTTTAAAGAGTTAAGTATACAAGAAAAAATTAAACAATCATGTTAAAAAAACACAATTTATTTTACTCTCTATTATAAAAAAATAAATAGATTAGAGATATAATTGAAAGGGAAAAATAGGAAAGCGCAAGTTACATAAATATCTTCTAATGTCTTCAAATATAATAAATAAAATAATGCAAAATTAAAATAATGGGAAAAAAACACAAATCTATTTATTATAAATAATAAATTTTCGGAACAGATATCAGGGGTTGATCCAGATAGAAATTGGGGCCGTTTTTCGGTCTCTTCACAAAATTCAAATTCTAAAAAATGGCTCCTTTGCCAAATTCAAATTATAATAAATAACCAGTTCACAAAATTCTAATTTGCCTTCATGAAATTTCACTTTATAAAAACGATCGCACAAAATTGTTCCACGGCGAATTCTCTGAAAAAACGTCCCGAAATGGCGGGATAATACAACAGCATCTTCACGAATACAAAATGCCAAAAACTTCAATTCAAAATTCACGTGTCGTAATAAAATTTAAAAAATTACGGAGTTTGGAAAATCTTGCGGAAAAATGAGGAATAACAGCTGATAAAATTGTTCAACGACGTGAATTTGCGATGTAATTGTCACGAATCGAATACTCGAAGAGTGATTACTCAAATTCATCGTGATAACATCGTATAAAAAGTATCAGAATTTTAAAAACCATGTGAAAAGGGCCGAAAAATACGTCGTGATAACGTATTACGAATATCGGAATTAGAAAAACTAGATTAAAGAAGCCGAGAAATTATGAATAACTGCTGGTACAAACGACGTAAAATTATGATGAAATTGTCACGAATTACTTTAGCCATCACTTTGAGAAAGTGATGGCTAAAATAAGAAATTCGCATGTCGTAACAACTTATTAAACATATCGGAATTAGAAAAATAGGGAAGAGGCCAAAAAACTTACGTCGATTGAGTTTAAAAAAATCGAAATAAAAAATAGTGATAGTTAAAACTGAATGTTGGTTATTAAGAAATTTTCGGAAAAATAATTCTCACAAAAATGGGCCGCAAAAAGTAAAATCTGGATGGTCCTCAGGATATTATAGTATTGGTTAATAATTTCTACGTGGAACAGCAATCCCCTTGAATGACAGTTTAATTAAATTGATTTATCAAGCTAAGTGATAGAAGATTAGGAAATTAACAATAAAAAACATTAAAAATTAATAATAGATTATAAAACATTATTTATCTCAATACATTTTGTAATTAAAAATAGGAATGAACAATCTGAAGTCCCTTCTATCTGTTCTGGATTCTAGCAACTCTTTTCTAGTTGAAAGTTTTCTAAGTCACAATAAGTCGGTTAGTGACTCATGTTTTTGCTCAAAACGAAACTCATCTTCTTTTGCGGAAAATGGTGGTGTGAAGATAACAAATCGAACTCCCTGATTTTCCAGACTTTGGCTCAGATATGTTAAATTCTCAGACTTTTGGCCAATATTTGAATTTAGATAGTGTAGCAACTTCGCGAAAAAAAAAAAACATTATCAAAATTGGTGCTCCCATTCTGGAGCTGTTAGTGAGCATACAGCTAGACAGACTTTTGCTTATATATACACCGAAGAGCCATTACATTATGACCATCCTCCATCTATAACAACGGGCTCGGCCAGGTTTTCATGGTTTCTCGCCCAGGAACAATGTTTTCATGGGGCACATTAGGACCCATAATCCTCATAGAACAATCCCTGACGTCTGTAAGGTACTTGAACATAGTTGCAGACCAAGTTCACCCATTCATGGCAAGTTTTTCCTGCGGGGGATGGTGTTTGCTAACAGGATAATGCACAATGTCATAAGGGTGGAATCGTCGAGGAACATTCCAGTGACTTTCAAGTCATGTCTTGGCCCCGAAATTCACCTGACCTTAATCCAATAGAGGATTTGTGGTCCTACTTGGAAAACCAAATTCGTGCTGCCACGCTACCCCCTCGCTCTGTGAGGGAATTACAGGACCAGTTGGTGAGCGCTTGGTACCAGATACCTCAGACTACCTATCAGCACCTTGTGGAATCAATGCCACGGCGGGTGCTAGCAGTTTTGAGGGTTAAAGGTGGTAATAATGTAATGGCTCTTTGGTGTATATATCAGAGTTGGCAAGGTTTAGGACAGAATGGATTAATCCACGGTTTAAACTGTCCTGTCCAAAACCCTTTTGTTCAAATTCTCCAAGATCTTTTTGTTCAAATTATGTGTCACAATTTCAAAAAAATGTGAAAAATAAAAGGTTAATTTTTGAGCAAGAAACAAAATGAAGACAAGTTTATGTTTATTAAAAAATTTATTATTATTTTTAATATTGTATTATTTATCCTTATGCAAAAACATAATTTATCAGTATTAAAAGCATATTTAAAGGATAAGGTATTCACTTTTGTTATTAGGTGAATGGAGCAGCTTCAAAAGTTATAAAACATTTCCTATTATATTACATTATAATATTTTCCTTTAATAATTTAAAGTAAAAATATTAAATATTTATTAATATATGCAATCATTATGTGTACGATGGTTACATATATAAAATGCATAAAATGAAAACCTATTAAAAATGTTCAAGGTTTTGGACAGTTTAAGTCAGTAAAACTCACATGTCCTGTCCAAAACCCCAACCCTGATATATACGTATATATATATGGGTCATTCTCACGAAAACTGCCATTTTTCAGTTCATAAAATCCCAAAAAGGTAAAGTGAATAAAAAGCTCTGAAACTTTTTATATTAATAGAAATATGTAATGGCATTATAAAGAAAGTATATATCCTATAAATTATACTTAATATTTAAATTAATTAATTTTTTAAATAATTAATTTATAATTAATTAATTTATAATAATTAATAATTAATTAATTAATTTAATAAATAAATTAATTAATTTAATAAATTAATTTATTAATTTTTTAATTTATTTTTCAAATTAATTAATAAGTAAATTAATTATTTTCACTATTTAAAAAGTGAGGGAATGACACTAATAGTGAGGGAATGATATTTTATTTTAATACATGTTTTTATCTAAGTTACATCTACCTAAAGTTTGAAAATGATAACATACTAAGTATATCTAATATTTATTATAATTTAGTCTTATATATTTAATAGTTTTTACAGGTTTGGGAAATAAAATTGGCTGGCACGATTGAACAAAAAAAAATTTGATAATATACTCATCTTGAATCATTCCCTCACTTCAGCGTCATTCCCTCACTTTATACACTAGTGAGGGAATGACGAATTCAATAAAATTTAAAAATAACAGTTAGGCCTAATTAATTTCTGAAGTCAATCACATACAATTATATTCATACAAGAAAGCAACATATAATTATCCACTTTCTCGATGAAGTTGTATTTTATTTTACTCTAAAAAATGACATGAGGGAATGACAAATGTAAAAAATTTTACCTGGTTTGATTCATTCAAATTTATTCCACAGCAAAGCTTCTTTAAGTTGAAGATGGAAACATACTGCAATTTTGTTCTATGATGCCAGTTGTTAACTTCTGAAGTTTTTATTAAAATATTTTTATTCTAAGAAGATTGCAGGTGATAAGAACATTGTTGTGAGGGAATGACGCGAAACACTGGGGACAAAGTTTAAAATAGTGCTGTGTTAATATTTTTATCAGAAATTAAATTTAAAATTGATTTTCTGAATTCTATATTTCAGTATTCTGAAATAAAAAACACGAATTTGTAAAAAAAAAATTTTTATTTCAGAAACAATTTTTTTCTTTTTTTAAATCAGCAGTGGGGACAAGTGAGGGAATGACATATTGGTATATTTTAATTACCTAAAATAAATAAAAAATAAAAATTGATAATTTTATTTTTATTCTTTTGTTAGCTTGCATTCCGAAGGACACTTTCCCTGAATTTTTTTTCTTCGTAAGCTGTAAAACAAACATAAAATATACTGGGGACATGAAAATGACTGTTTTTGTGAGAATGACCCATATATATAGAGAGAGAGTTGGTAACAAAATACTCTCTTTTTCTGACATTTATTATGAAAATGATCCAGTTATATCAATCAAACTTAGCAGAGACATAAACTTAAATTTAATGAAAAACAGTTTATTATTAGAAAATTACATTTAACTGATTATTCATTGTATTTCTATAAACATGAAATTCAAAGTGACTGATTCATGCAAACAAATGAGAATAAAATAATTTAGGAATGTAAAACAGGAATGGTTGAGTAATTGTTGAGCATGTTATAAATATATTGAAACAAAACAAGAAACTTCTTTTATTACTAAGAGCTACTACAAGTTGAGTAGGTTTTGCTTCTTATCATTTAATGAGAAGAAATAAAACAGATAAAATCAGCACAGATTTTATTGTTTTCTTAAAAAAGATTTAATACTGGAACATTTTAGAATGATAAAAATATATGTGCATTAAATAATTTGTTTCTGATCAAATGCATCTTAGATCAATTAACGTGAGGAGAAATATTTTATGCGGAGAACTTCTTGGCGGTGGGGTCAGCGATAGCTTGCTTTGGATCACAAGTGAATGAGACTGTGATGGCATACCTGCTCCCACTCTTCACCTGTTCTACATGGTGAGGGTTTTCTGCTCCGGAAGTGAACCCAGAGACACGACCTGAAACAAAAATGTTTATTTAACAAAATTTATTTTTCATATAACTTGTTGATTTTTAAGAAAGTTTAGTTTAAAAATGTAGACATTGATGAATACAAACAATATAATATTCTTAAAAAGTTGTAAATAAAAGTAAAATAAGTTATCTTTGTAGTAATAAATAAATTTATGAAATAGACTTTATTCTTTTTTAAAGTATTTAAACATTAGTAAATAAATATTCAACTAAAACTAATTTTTAAAATTTTTAGATCTAACTATTATAAAATTTTATTCTAATAATCTTTTATTTTTACAAATACAATACACAATCTGTTTAAGTTAGTATATACCCAAATAGCAAAATAACTTGGGAAATCATTGGGCCAATATTCATCAATCTTGGCTTAACAATGTTTTAAAAGGCCATTATTTTGCCAATATTGAACCGATATAGAAATGTCCAATTCATCCGATATTTTATAGCCACTGTTCAGCTAAGGTTTACCCTATATAAAATTGTTAAACTCGTGCGACATTTTACTGCCCTTATTCAGCCAATATCGGTCCTTTACAAATTTGTTAAGTTCACCCGATATTTTATAGTCGTAATTCTGCCTATATCGGTTCGATACAGAAGTGTCCGACTCAACCGATGTTTTATAGCCGTTATTCAACCAATATAAACCCTACATAAAACTGTCCGATTTTCCCAATATTTTATAGCCGTTACTCAGCCAATAAGGACTTGAACGATTCACCCTATATTTTAAAGCCATTATATAAACAATGGTATCAATTCGGCAAAACCGAATGCTTAGTCTTACTGTTTTAGAATTCTTCTTTGCAAGCACTGACAAATAGCTTGCAAAAATAAGGAAAGAAATTAACAATAACCATACTTTGTAAATACTACATTGCAGAAGCAGGAATAAAAATTAATAAATTTAAAAAATACATGATGTACAATACATGATATATAGGACAAAAAAAGTTTCTATTATGAAAAAAAAATACAATTTTCTAATAACATTAATACATATAGATGTCATAATTTTCAGCAACTACAAAAGTTTTATAGGTGATGAGAAAAAAAGAACACTCACCTATTTTGGGTTCCACAGTTACATTTGCACTTTTATCAACAAATACAAATCGCCCTCCTGTAAAGTCTTCATTGTAATTGTTTAGATACAAAAGGGAGGTATAATGAAATGATGGATATGTTTCCTAAGGGAGATTTGAAACTTTACTAGTGATGAATTCACAAAATATATTTATTTGAATCACTTCAACAACACCTTAATTGCCCTTTTCTATTTTTTGTTTCTTTCCTAGAAAATCTTATCAGGCAACATTTTATATACTCATGTTTTTTGAAGCTCATCATGAAAAAGATTTCATAGTTTATATAAATGATATTGTTAATTTAAGAAAACTTCGACAAAGTTATAAAAGTGGGATTTGTATTTAAGTTTTGGGATAAATTGTTGATCTTGAATTTTTGTTGGTTCTGATGGTTCTTGTTAACTTGTTACACCAATCACAAGTAAAAGGTTAGAAAATGTTTTAATTTGCTTAAAAATTATCAATAAATGTTTAAAAATTATAAATAAAAATTTTATGAACTGTTAGTGAAATGTTTTTCCGAAGACGCACTTGAAAAGTTTTATTTTAATATAATTGCTCATAAAATTATAAAAACAAATTTATGAACAGAGGTATTGTGCAAAGAATATTTTTATGGAGAGAGAGAGAGAGTCTAAGAAATCGGTAAACGAAATTTTGAAAATGGATTATACACACTTTTTTGATAAATGCTTACACATTTATGAAAACAAAAATTTAATAATTTTCAATATAAAGATATTATTAAACCAAATATTAAAAAAACAGGTGAGATTTTAAAACAGATTTCAAGTAAAACTAATTCTAAATTATACAAATTATAGAAAAAAACATGAGAGACCTATCAAATGATAAGTCTAAAAACAGGTCTAATAACTTGATAACATAGTCCAAGTATTGGCATTGTGTTTTTATCTCCTTACAATTTTGCATACAGAACAGCAATATTTTTTTTGCCCTCCACATTAAATTTGTTGCATACTAAATTAGAAAAGAAAAACTGGTTTTTATAGTTTCAGAATACACAGTTACAGAAATCGAAAAATGTTACAAAAAAACCAATGTTTTTATTGGAAAAAAATAGAAACAGTTAAAACTTTAAAAAAAAGAGAAAGAAAAATTAAGTTGTAGCTTTTAATTAGCAAAACATACTATTTAATAATTTAATTTTAGTTTTTTTACTCAAGGAAACAGAAGAAAAGTATTTTAATCAAATAATCTCATTGTTTATTAGTGTATTTAGAAATAAAGTTAGAAAATTCACAGTAAATGGTTTAGATTCATCCAAACATGCAGGATGTCTCATAGTGTGGCGTCAATATACTCACTTTGTCAATGTGAACATGCCAATACTCATCATGCGTGGTCATGGCTGGTTTTGAAGTCATCTCAGAAAAAAATGTTGGATGAGTCAAGTAGAGCTTATTCATTTGAATTCCAAAATTGTAAGCAATAGCCTTCTGTATTTTGTCACGAACATTGCTGAAAACATTTGCATAACTAAGTAAAAAATTTAATTTGAGTGGCACAAATGACCTAATTTTAATTTGAGTTGAAAACCAGTAGGGGTAAGCTTTTAGATTATGTGGAGAATCTTTATTGAAATAATGTAAATAAAAAATAAATGGATGTATTTTTTAGATATGAAAAAGAGTAATTTCAATAGTAGACTTCTATGAATAAATAAATAATGTGAGAAAATAAATTAAAATGATAAATAGATAAAATGTAATAAGCTAAAACTTTAATTCTATTTACCTTATTTTTCTTTCCCTAAAAATATTCTAAGTAGTACATTTATTTTAAGTGTATTTTCAAAAGCTAAGGTGTTAAAAATATGGAATCACTATCAATCAATTTATTATATACCTTAACACCATATTGGTAATTTTTTTTTATTAGAAAAAGTATAAAAGAATTGAAAATGCCATTTATGTAGAGTATATCATATTTTACAAAACTAAACAATATTAAATTTTGATTTAAACATGGATGAAAATAATTTATCAAGATGACCATTTTTCAGGTTTAATTGTTCGTATCATAAAAACCTTAACCTCCAATTATAAATGAATTGGATATCTTTTTAGCCTAAATAAATGTGCTATAATAAGAAAGTGTAAAAACAAAGCTGCATTCCAATAGCAATAAAAATGCATGCTTATCATAATTTGTTATGGTTACCATGCTTTGTAGTTGATGCTAAACAAATGAAAAAAAAAAACTTCTTGTTCTCACTTGCTTCCAATCCCCGAAAGAAAAAAAATTTAAAAGGTCGAGGAAAAAAATACCACAACCTTAACAATCCATCATTTATAATTAAAAAAAAAAACAGGGTAGAACATGAAATTTGAAACAGTTCACTTGTCATCCTTTTATTTGCTTCAAAGGATCACCGATAATTAGTTTCTCTTTATTTTCAAGAATCTCTAATAATATGGGAATACAATAATTTTATATACACACACATACAATTATAGACACATACATATATGTACATGTAAAATAAAAAGTTTCAACTAATCTTTTTATGTTATTCCCTTACCTAAATCTTTTTTTTAATTTATTATTCTAAACACTTTTATTCACACTTTAATATTCAGATCTTGTTTCTTAATCTATTTTTTGGCTTCAAGTAATGCATGAATTAACATTTTTGATCTTTCCCATTATTTGAACCACGAGAAAGACTTTTTCCCTCGACCTATTTCATAAACCAATTATAATTACATGGTTTTCCCTTTTTCCCGTCCTAAAATAAAACATTTTTACAGATTTATTTTTCCAAACTTTCATTGAGGAACACTTTGATTTTGTGTCACTTGGCTATTCATTCTCTGATTACGATGGTTAAATAAAATTAATTTGTTCTTTTTAAAAATCCTGTGCCTGTTTGTCTTGCTCTCATGACTGCCGTCCTTAGAAGCTGGCAGGATAACATAAAAAGATTAGTTGAAGCTATTTATGTTATATATATACATATTTTTAAGTTAAAAATATAGAGAAAACAGGGAAAATAATTAAGATTAACAAAAAGAAATGAAGAAAAATTATCAAAATGAAATATTTTTAAAAATGTATTAAAAAAAGGAAAGCAAAATGAGGAAAAGATATAATCTCTTCATCAGCTTACGCGATTATGTCTGCAAAAAGGAGTGCTTTCTAAGATTGTATCAATATAGCCTCAGTAATATATATGAATACAATAGTGTAAAGAGCAATCAAAAAATTGAAATGAAAATAGAACACATTAAATGAAAAATGGTTTAGGTTATTCATTATTACTTTGAAAATTTTGTTTTCAATAATAAGGAAAATTAAAATAACAATAATAATTCAACAAATTGTTCTAAAATTGATCGATCAACGAAACAACCTCAATTTTTTTTAAAAATCAACCCCATAGACAAAGTTAACGATAATTATACAATCTTTTGTAAAAAAATTCTATATTGAACTTTTAAATAAAGAGTTAAAAAATAATAAAAAAATATTAAGGTTAGTAATTTAAATTATAATATTACCATTAAAAAATTTTTTAGCTTTATATACATGGTAAAAAATTAAATTAGCAATATACAACTTTCTTACTTAATTATCAGTCCAAAATTTCTTAAAATTCCTATAAAATTAAAAACAACCACATGTGGGTCTAATACTTAGCTAACTAAACTTGATCCCATTTTTTCTAACTACTTAAACAAAATTATTACCAATATTATTAAAGAAGGTTTTTCTCAAATCATCACTAATAATCAACCCATTTCAGAATTTATTAAACAAAATAAAATTAATTCTACTGCAACTTTCGATTTCCAGGATCTCTGCAATAGCATTCCCCTTTCAAAACCATAAGATGTTCTTTTGAGTTATATGATTTATATTACTCTTAGTATGATTTTAAAAATATCCTTGATTACAATTTTGATTATTGAGAAATTCTAATTAATGTTTGTCTTTTTAATAATTATCTTTACAGTGGAAGTTATATTTTTATTCAAATTGATGGAATAAAACAAGTATCTAGCTTTTCATCTCTCTTAGCTAACTTATTTTTACACTATTATGAAAAAATTATACTCTTAATATAAAATTTGTTTTTTGATTTATTTTTGATTTAACTATCTTTAACTTTCATGATTATACAATTCTGTTAAATAATATTTGACTCCAAGAATTAATTTTGCTTTGTAATCATGATGATAATATAAATTTTAAGTTTTCGGATTTAGGTATTAAAAAAGAAGAAAACATCTGCTTTGTTGATTTATACGATAAAAAAAGTGATTTTGATTTTAATATAAAGAAACTAATTACTCAAAATTCTAATGTTTCTATAAACATTTATATAAATACCCTTTTTAATCAAATGAACAGAATTAAAAGAATATGTGTTAATGTTTACTGATAAAAAACAAATTCTTTCAAAATTTGATAAAAAACAATGGATACTCAACTAATGCCATTAGGTTCTATACAAAATCATTGAATTAATTATATGTTAATAAATTTACTAAAAACTTCCTTGTTAATTTATATTTTTAACATATACAAATTCAATTCGGGAAAATCCACAGCTAAAATTCTAAGCAAAACGAGCAAATCACGTTTCTTTTTTAAATAAATGTTAATTTTCATAAATCATAAAAATTGTATAATTAAATATCAACTTTATTAATTATGAACTTTAAATTATCCAGTTTAATATTATTAACTTGAGCACATACATTTCTGAGCTAATCCAAGGTAACTAACAAATCAAACATGACGCTTCAATACCACAGTAAGAATGCAAAAGAAAAAGATCCCTCTATTTACACTTTGAACCTCTTTTTGCACTTCTGTTTTCATATTTTGTAATCTGGCAATCTTATTATGAAAATATTTTAATTCATTCTTGAAAGATTACAGTATATATTGGAAGTTCATTTGAATTTGCTACTCCCTTTATAGATTTCGTTTTGTTCTAAATTTTTGTTAATTTAATTTATTATTTTTTGCCTCATATGTTCTAATTTTTATATTTTTTTCACTTAATGTGTTCTATTTTCTTTTAAATTTTTTGAGTGCTCCTCACACTATTGTATTGATATATTTTGCTTTGGCTATATTGATACAATATTAGCAAGCACTCCTTTTTGCGATATAATCATGTGAGCTTTAGAGATATCTTTTCTGGCCTTGAAATGTTTGTTTTTTTAAATAAATTTTATTTAAATATTTAAAAAAATATTTTATTTAAAAAATTTTTCTTCTTCTCTTTTCATTAATCCTTATTAATTTTCATGTTTTCTCTATATTTCTAACTTATTTTATGAGAGTTTTAACTATATACTTGCAGCTCATGCACAGTAAATAAAACTTATTAATTTTCTTCTTTATTCTCATAGAACATTTGATATAATCTTGCTTCTGGGAGTGAACCTTTTCTGTAAAAGTTTCTTGTAAAGTATTTATTTATAATTTTCTTTTTTTTTTTGAGATGTACTAACATAATTTCATTTAAACATGAAAAGAAAAATTTTAAACAGATGCATTTATTAAAGGGTATCTTAAAATATATTTAACACTACAATTTTCAACAATTTCGCAAGCACTTTTTAAAGGTGATTAAGTAACTTTAGTTAAACCATTTGTAAAGAAAAAAATAATGCTTTTACTACTCAGACTCCATAAACACATTATGTTCAGCATTAATAAAAACAGAAATAAAACGTTGGTTTTTTTTAAAAGTTTCATAATATATTGAAATATTTATTGGGTTGACTTCTCATTAAAGTTAAAAATAGAAAGTATAGATATTTATTATAAAAATGCCCATTAGTTAATACTCTCTCAATTTTTTTAAAATTTTTAATTATATTTAAGTTTTTTAATTACAAAAGAATTTTAGAACAAAAATACGGGTGAGTATGTGATTGAACAATTTGGTAAAAAAATAATTTTGTTTTTGTGGGTGGCCTAATTTAAAATTTATACCTCATCGTACTGTTAATTGGGATTAATTCTTCTTTTAAATCAAAAGAAAGAGACAAATCATAAACTTTAATAAATGTTTTAATTTTCATTTGCAAAGTTTTGCCTCCCAAAATGTATTACTTATTTCTTGATAATATAAATGAAAGATCCATGAATAACTCATGATTGAAAAATTGTTAGTTTAGTTTTTTTTTCCTTAAAAAATCACTTAGCTTTTAAAAATTCTTAAGTAACAAATACTGTATGGAAAATTGGATGTTTGAAATTTCGGTTATTTCAGAGTTAAAAATGATTGTGAATTCAGAAATGATTAAAATGAGATTATTAAAAATAATAAATAATTAGTATTTATTTACAGATAAAATAATGAACAAAAAGTTACATAATCATATTATCTTATAATATAAAAAATGCAGCTGTATTCCTTAAAAATGTATTTTATTCAATGGAATGATAGATTATAAGGTAACAATGAGTAAAAGCTCAAGCAAGCAAGATTTAGTATAATGTATAACAAACAAAACTGAAAAATGTATCTAAAAATTAATGTGGAAACAACATTTTGAATATATACTGGTGGGAGCTTAGGATGAAATTCCTTGGAGTACATTATGTAAGAGATTTCCTATACTACTACAAATTTAAAACAAAACAAAAAGTTGAAATATTTAACAATTCTATAGAATTCTAATTTCTAGCTTAGAATAATTAGAAATAATCATAATAATACTTAAACAATAGTGATGAGCAAAAGTCATAAAAAAGAAACTTTTAGAAACTAAGTTGAAGCAAAAGTTTTCTCATGAAAGCCTATAATTTCACTCATATTAAGAAAAATATGTTGATAAAAAGAATTTTCTCTAAATCAAATTCAATTCGTACCTGTAGACCTTGAAATCAGTAGAGGAGAAAATATTATTCTTGTCTGTCTTCAATTTCCTAAAAATAAAACATATTTTAGCAATAGCATGAGTGTAGGGCATTAAATGTTTGTCAAAATTCCTATCACACATTTAAAGCAGGCAGAATTCATTATAAAAAAAAACATCTTTAGAATCACAAATTGCCAAATTTTTTTTCAAAATCCAATTCTTGCTTTTAAAAGGTTATAAAATTGGGAATTAAATTTTTTACTATTTGCTATACGTTTTTCTATTGAATGAGCACAATTCATTTTGAAAAGTTTATAAGTGCAATTTTCACTGAAAAAGATTTTAAAAAGCAAAATAAAAAATGTTACCATTATTTGAATACGTGAAATAAATGCCTCCCTAAGAGAAGTATTTGAAAAATTTAGTAAAGCATATTTGGTACAAGTTACATAATACATAAATATTGGGATAAAAAACATCCTAAAAATCAAGCTTCCTTTAAATGTAGAAATAATTTCTATAATTTACTATGGTTTGAGGATTTGCGTGCCACTATTAATAAGCATAATGTTTAGGAAAAGAAGTACAGCTTATAGTCATTCAGCATATTGAAGAATCCAACTTCTTTTAGATCAGAAGTTTTTTTTAAAAAATATTTAGGTTGTGTACAAAAAAAATTAGTAAAAGTGCTAAGATAAGTAAATTAAAAGCACGAAGAACAATTTTTCCCATACTTTTATTCTTTAACACTTTTAACTCAGCCATTCAGCATATAGAAGAATCCAACTGCTTTTAGATCACAAGTTTTTATTCATACTTTTATTAATGCACGAACTATTTTTTCCCCATGCTTTTATAATGCATACTTTTGTTCTTTAACACTTTTAGAGAAGAATCTCCTCCAAATAGAAGTGGTAGGTACAACTATTAATGAAACAAGAATTATAATAAATACAAAGCAGTGGTTGACTGTACCCCACAAAGCTTTTTATTTCTGGGGAAGAAAAACATTAAGTAAAAGCAGATAAAAAAATACACAAAATAATAAAAATAAAAATTTGTGCTCAAGATTTCAAGTCCAAAAAAGACTCTATTAATTTATACCACATTATTTCAATCACATACTAAATTATTGGTCTGTCATTCAATGCCAAACTACTTACAGAGCAAAGTATTTTGCCTACTTTAAGAAATTCATGGTTTCATAGTTAAAATTTATAAAACTAAATTTTTATCTGAAAGCATTCTCAGACATTAAAAAACCTCATAAAAAATTTTACTTCAGGGAGGGGTCAGTGAAATAACATTTGGTGACATATTAAAAATAATGAATGAAATTTTATTTTATAAACCAATAAAAATTCAGCTGCGGTTAGTCATTTCAAAACAACATTAATTTAACTGCAGAGTTTATTCAGAATACTTTCTTTTTATTGTATGATTAAGAATAAAAATATTTTTATTATTTCCAGTATGGAATACCTCAAAATACAAACAATGCCAGCAAACATCAACAACAGAGTTCCTCTACCATCTTCATATTTGAGCTCTACTTCATAAGAGAACAAGTGAGGGGGGGGGGCTGAATTATAACTGTTGCTAAGTAAAATAATGAATATTACTTTTTGAAGAAGTTCAGTTTTTAAAATAATAGAGGTTTAAGGAGTTTGTGGACCACAAATGTCGTTAAAGAAATCATACTGAATCCTACTCTATTAAAATAAGTTTTGTAGGAACAAGTCCCAAATTTGAACTAAAAGACTTTTAAAAATATGAAGTTTAAAAATTGCTGAAAAATATAAGTTATAGTAAACTGTATAACGAGCAGTTTCCTACAAACTGTAAATCTCTTTGTTTTCAGCATAGGGTGTTCGACTAGTTTAAATTGTGCTCAAAAGTAGGGTCAGTGGAATCCAATTTGCATTTCCCACACTCCTTTAATGCAAAATTGTTATGAATAAATGTTTGACAAACAATATTTTCTGTATCTAATTATAAAGTTATGAATTATGTCATAATTTTGACCATTCATGTGTAAATAAAGGTGAATACTGCATCACTTCTTTTGGGGCACCTACTTTCTAAAATATCTTAACTCTTTAATAAAAAAACATTTTCCTGAACTATGAATTCTATCTCTTAGATCAATACAACATGTGAGACCCTATTATCTTCAGGTGTTTTCTAAGAAAATTAAAAAAGTATTTTGGTAAAAATTGGACATATCAATGAAACTTAAGTCTCATATTTCTTGAAATAATAAAATATTTGAAATAAATGTCACTCATGAAGGATAGAAAATCAAAATCACACACACAGCATCAAAAATAATTCACATATTTTTTACTTTTTGTAATAGCGTACATATAATTTTGTTTCTATTGAACAAAAATTAATTATAAAATCAGTATATCTAAGAATGAGTGTAAAACTAAAACAAAACTCACTCATAAATATTTATGAAAGTGTTACCATGTGATAAAGCTCCAGAATGCAAATCTAGTATGGATGCACCACCAGAAGAACCACCAAATGCTAAACCTTTCTTACACAACCTGCAAAAAAAGAATTTAACTTCAATTTTGTTGCAATTTTTTTTTTGTCCATCCCCAGGGATCTATACACAATTCCATTAATCTGTTTCATAAACATTGTTATGGGTTATTTTCTCAATATCATTAATGTTACGCAATATTTTGCATTAAAATGTTTATTTTCATTATGTAAGGGTATGTTTTGCTTAAAATACTCACAAGGACAAAAAAACAATATTCACCAGACACATTTTGTGCTTAAAATATATTCTTAAATAAATAAAATAAAGGTTAAATGTCATTATTGTTCCATGCCCCCAACACATATTTCTGAAAGTAGTTTACTGTATTATGAAAGTGTTACAGAGACAAATGCATACATATTCTGATATAGTATGACTATCTATTTGAATATGCATCATCAAAATTTTTGAATTGGAAGTTTACTTCGCCTTTTTGCATTCTTTTTTCCTCTTATTAAGAATTGCATAGACTATTTATTATAGAATATTTGCACAGTTATTTAAACCTTTCACACTGCATGGACACCTATGGGGACATTCAAAAGCCACCACTTTGAAATTAAAAATTATTGTATCTTAATATTTTGTTACCACATTGTTTTATGATTACTAGCTGTTATATAGTAATATTGAATTATATATTTTAAACAAATTAGTGCTTACATTAATTTCAATAATATTTAAAAGTATTCGAAGGCAAAAAGATTAAGTTATAATTTCAACAACATTAATGCTTAAATTTTGAAATTTTAATTTTACTTTGTCAATTTTTCTTTAAAAAATGTGAGTATAAATAAGAATGTGGTTACTTAAAAAAAATCTTTACACAATATAGAAAGCTGCAACTTCAGTTTCTATTACTTGTTGATATTTCTTAATTTTAGAATAATTATATATGTGATAATGTGATAAGAAGAAGATGAGGAATAAAATTTCTACCTTCTACCCAAGTAAGTAGTTAGGTAAAATTTTACTGGCCTGTTTTGATGAAAAGTTTTATTGGTTGTATGCACACGATAAACAAAAATTAAATATATCTCATTTAAAAAATGCCCCCCAAGGCTAATTTCCATTCTTTTTTAAACCATCAACAATTTAGATGAAAACTGCAAATTATATTTTAAAAAGCAAAACATCCAATATCTATTATGTTTTTTTTTAAAAAATTATTATAGAGCAAATGGTGTTTTTCAGTTTATTGTTCCGGTACATTTTAAAATAACAAGAGTTTTAGATTTAAAATATTGTGCATTTGCTTACAAAATGTGCGATTGTGCACATTTTAAATTAAAAAATATAATAAAATATAAGTCATACAAAGATGCTTTTGCAATAAAAAAGTAAAATTTGTATAAATTTTTTAAATATTTCTTTAAAATTTAAGATATATACTCTATTTTTAAAGGAAATATTCCTTACATTTTCATTTAAACATTATTTAAAATGCTTTCCCTTATTCACTTATTAATTATTGATTCATAGATACAAAAATTAAATATTTTCTTCATAGGTTCTTAAAGCATTTAAGTGATAGGACAGTAATTACTTTTTTTCATGTAATTACAACTTAAAACTGTCACAAAATTTTTATTTTTAAATTTTTTGTATTGCTGGTCATTGATTTGCGTATTTAAAATCTTAATGTAAAAACGTAAAGTTAATTAAGAGATGAATTTTTCCTAACACTAGTGGGCTGCGCCCCCTGCTCGCTAGCACTCGCCAACCCCCGAAAATTGCTACGCAATCTTATATGGTTTGCTTCGCAAAACAAGCTCGCTTCCCTCGCTAACTTACGTATGAAAATTAAGAATTGAAATTGAAAGAATTGAAAACAGGAAAACTAAGAATTGAAAACAATCATTCAAATCCATATAACAACTTTTTTTAAAAAACAATTACATCTTTTTAGTAAATACTAAGTCATTAAAATAGATTTGAATTCAAATAAATGACATGTAATTCGTTAAACCTAATAGAAATGTGCTATAGTATAAAATCTGAAGATAAAATTTCTAAAACTGATATCTCTTTAAAAAGGTTAAAATTTTGGCTATAATTAAGTCAATTAATAATTGAAATAAGTGAATTGCAATGGAAAAACCTGCATAAACAAGTAAATTCTAGTAAAACAAATAAATTCGTGATATAAATAAAAAATCGTCAAATAAATTCGTAATATATAAATTCGTGAAAAAAAGTGCTTTTGACAAAATACTAAAATAGAGATCTATCGACAAAGACTACTCACTTCTGCCTAGCTTATGCTCTCTCTGGTTATTTCAGTTTCCGTTTTTAAAAGCGCTATATGTTGAGCCATTTCATCTAGATTTGGCATGTGACATTTTTAGCGGCAATAATTGGTCGATTTTCAAGCGTTGCCATTCAGGGAGTTGTAATGATGCTTTTTTTTGTCGCCGTGTAAGAGAAATATATATATAGATTTTGAGAAAATCACCCTCAAGCATTTCTTGTAAACTTATTGAACACATAACTTTAAACAAGCTTAAAACATTAACATTTAGACAAAACTGATTGTTAGATAAGTTGAGTTATAACAGTAAACCAAAGAATTTAAAAATCTTAATTGAAATACAATACATTAATTAACATAATACAATAATTTGATAAGTCGAATTATAATCAGTCAAATTTATTAAAGCATTAAAATATGAAAGTAGTTCCGCAAAGGCAGTTTTTTTTCCTGGTTAGATGTTCCAACTTCACAAGCTACATAGGTCATAAAATTTCAAGAAATTTTATTGGTTATTGCAATACCGGTGGCATATTTTTTTTTATGGATCTTGTGATACTATCTTTTAAATCTTATGTTTAGATAGAAATGTTTCTTAGATTTAATTCTTTTACAAAAAAGAAAACCTTTTTTTTTTCAGTGAAACCTGGTAAGCTAAAAGAAAAAGTGTTCCAATATATTTGCAATTTAAATTGCATAGTTTCATTGTTCAAATTTTGAAGTGCCCATTAAAAAAATTCAAACTTTTGTTTAAACAGGGAAAGGATTTTTTCCTTAAGAAATATATTTTTAGACAAATATTGCTTTGATTTAAAATCTTGAAGTATGAGTCTTAATATTTTTCCATTTCCCAGGAATTCTAAGATTTAATTTTAATCCCTTCACAATCCATCTTTAGTAGGTGACACTTTTGTTAAAACATAAGATGTTCTTCCATTATTATTTCAGTGTCTATTAGAATGTCCACATTAAACCGTTCTTTTCAATATAGCAACCGAAAATCAATCAATTGAAAAAGAATTCCAAAGGAACTATTCAAACCATTATTTCATTTATTACCTTACAATGAATGTAAGCACTTTGACAAAGGAAGAGTGATATGACCCCCTAAATTCTTGAAATTTAGAGAAAAAAATTTAGTGAAACATAGATTGCTTCACACATTGATAATCTAAAGAGTATGTTACCTTGTGATGGGGAAATCGGTCCTGTAAGTACTTAATAGATTAAAAAAGCTTTCATAATCAGTGTAACTATTTTATTTCAAAGGATAGAATACATTTATCGAATCTACTCTTCATGGTTGAAAATTGATTGTTCTCTTTTTGTGAAATGTCAGTCTCTTTGCACGGTTTATCTTGAAAATGCCTTATTCATCAAAAATGACTCCCCAAAACAGCAAGTTATTTTTAAAGAGTGTTTCACCCAAGAAGCATTATTTTAAAGGATAATTTTACATTTATATTACTATAGAAAGTAAAGTTGCATTGTTACTAAATTTTCTGTTAGTTACTAATTCTGAATGTTAAAATTAATGGTATTTTTATCCATTTAAAATATCACAACCTCAGGTCATAAGGTCGGTTTTTGCCCAAAACTTGAAGCTCATTATATCGAGCATTGACTATATAATAGAAATTTTTTTTATTTAGAGTCAAATTAATTTATAATCTGTACCGATCAACCAAGTATTAGCAATCAAATGAAATGCAAAATATATAAATTTAAAAAAAATTTAAAAACAACTTACCTTATGCTAATAATGAAGAGAAATACTGTGCAATTTTTATTTTATTTATTATTTTTTTGTAATTAAACTTCCGGCTGATTTAAGATAGAATGCAGTTACAATTGAGAAGAATAAGCATGCAGTTACATGGGCAAAAATAAGCTCTAATAGCAACATCTTCAGTTAATTAATGCAAATAAAAACCACAATTTCTTATAAACATGCTTTAAATGGTTGTGAGATTCATTTGTATAAGAGAGATGTCACATTATTATTTCTTTCTACTGATTGCAATCTTCAAACTAAAAAGTTGTTTTAAAATTTTTAAAAGGATATAAAATTTTCCCAAAAAGTCAATTATTTTTTTGACAGCTTCAATAAAATAACAATCAAAAAGTTTATGATACAATGCAAAATACAAGTTAGTCTCATAATAGTATTCTATGTAGGATTTTTCAGATTTATAAAAATATTGATTAATTAATAGGAGAGAAATTGGTTTTCAGTAAAATGAGAATAAATTTTTTTCAAAGAATAATGAAAATCTATTACAAATTTGTAGTAGCCTTTTCATTTCAAGAAACCAAAAACTATTCACATTGTTTAAAATTCAATTAATTTTTTAAAATTCAATTCATATTTAAAGAAAAAATACAATAATGTAATTAATCCTTTATAAAAACATGAAAAAAGAAATCCAGAAAATAAAAATATCAAAAGTGAAACGCTTGTGCAACAAATGATGAGATAAGTTGAATTAGGCTACTGTAAACTCACCTTAAGAGATGAGCAGATTCCTCGGGTGTAACAACAACGTCTGTTACTAATCTTCCACAACTCTTTGGAGCACAACCTGTAATTCATTGCTTCAATTGAATACAATTACAAAAACATTATTGGCACAAAATTTGAAAAGATTAAATAAGAATAATCATTAAAAAAGAAGTATATGAATACACACAATAGTTGGTTGATATAACAATTCATGTATTGTCCAAACAGTACCAAACATGATACCAATGTACAGTGAATGTACAAAAATAAGCCAAATAAATTCATAACTGAACATACTTTATGTATTTTGACAAAAACGTATGATCATAAAAATTATTTTCAAAATGAAAAAGAGTAACACTTGCTTTATTTTCTTTGAATATGGAATCCATTAATATTTTGTGAAAAAGTCATCTCCAAAACCAATACAATATTTGAGCAAAAACCATTATACTAATATGAAATTTTATAAAATTTTTCATTGAATCCCTTTTCCAGAAGACGAGCAGATTTTGATTAACCCTGGGTAAAATTGTGCAGAAATTTACCTGCTATGAACTACTCTTCCTTTGACTAACATGCAGAAGCAGTTTTTTGTAGCAGGAAAGCTTGCAGCTAAGAGTTTGGAAAAACTCGAGACTAACGTTAAGAGAGTTAATAAAATATTAAAATCTTGTTCAGCATATGGAAAGGTTTTTCAGAGTTTTAACTTTTTTTTTCTTCAATATTTGGTAAACCACAGTATTTTGACTTCATGGCTGGGCTGTAGAGAGAGAATCTCAAGGAAAATTTTTCATCTTTAAATTTTCAATTAAAATAATATTTTTTAAATTCAAGTTTTAAAGTAAAAGGAAAAAAAATATAACTCATAAAGATGATTCTGTATTAATCAAAGTTGACATTGCTAAAAAACCATCAGTTTACATCTCAAAATTTATGTTACCTTAGGTTTAATTTCAACAAAATACTGCATGAAAAATAAACTTAAAAAAAAAATCATAATGAAAAAAATGCTAACGTAATCCAACAGGACAGTTCACTAACACAATTGCGAATCATTATTATTTATCTCTTGAAAGATATTTATCTCAAATATTTTGTTTTGTATTGTTTTTATTGTATTGTATTGTTTTTTTCAGTAGTTTGGATTAGCACAAATAAGTCGTTGAAAAGTTTCTTTTTCTTTTAAAAAAAAGATAACTTCTCTTTAAGTCAGCAAAATAATTAAAAAAAAATAATAATCAAATTTTTTTTAATTAGACCATACACCTTAAAAAGCAATAAAAATAAATTTGATGAATAAAACTATCTTCAAATGGTTTCTTTTTATGGTAGGAAAGCCAGGGATAATACCAAAAGTCTAATAATGACTTAAAATAAAAAGGCCAATAATGGTTTTATATAAAAGAGTTTTTGTTTCCTTTTTCACTCATTTTGATTGTAGAAAATTCCTCAATCAATTAAGACAACTACTAGCTGTGGCAGTACATTATTTTATCTCACGATCTAATTTGCTCACAGTTGTCATTTAAAACAAGGTAATTAAAGCCATTAACATGTTCAAACGTGTGATATGTAATGTGTAAGAAGTTAAGATTACACATACATGTAATAGGATTCTTTCAGCTCCTAATACTTTCATTAATAAACTATTACTTTAATGAAATTTTGCTTTGTTGCATTGTAAAATTAAGACATAAATAATACAAGCAAAAGATTAAGTATTTTTTAAACGTTAATTAATGTAACACTGATTTAAAAAGTTAACCCGTTTTGCAAATGAACTGAACTTTTATAATAAAATTACCTGAAAGAAATTTATTTAATTTAATTATTCCTACATTTGACAAACTATTATGCAGTGGTTAACAAAGAAGTTGGATAAATGAATCATGTAACAGATTTTAAGACCACTTTCCTTGTTTTTAATAGATCTTGTATTAGATGCCTGTTTACTTGCATAGTGGTCTGATACTTTAAGAAAGGCTACAGTTTTAAATGGAACAATTGTGTTGTATGATAAATTTTGGTTGTCCACATTGTAATTTTAAAATTTTCTGCATAATTGGAAAAATGTGTTTTAATTTTATCATTAAGATATTTGGGTTGGTCATTTTCTTTTTTATAACATTTGTATTTTTGTAGTTTGATGTAAATTTACTAAAAAACAAACAGGAGTACTTTCCTTATCTTCTTATCGATAAATGGTAGGCATAAGTACTACTGAAAAATATGAAGTATATGAACGTAGAGCTCTAGTAGCACATATTGTTTTATATCTACAACAAGACAGATGTGTCTAAAATTTAGAGATAGTGACAAAATAAAAATATTATTTTTCTTGTTATTTAGATTTTTCTTGTGTTTTTGGCTTTTGAATTAATATTAAAGTAATTGAAGCTAAATAACATCCATTTTAAATGTAATGCTTTCTAAAAATCTTTAACAATTTCTTTTTTTGTGTGTGATAAATGTTAAACATTATTTTTGGAAATGCTGACATTAATGATAATAAATGTTCTTGATTAATTAATTTTTAAAAGATGAAACCATATAACATCCCATATTATTATTATTATTAAAAAAAAAAAAAAAAAAAGCAATTATTTTCANAAAAAAAAAAAAAAAAAAAAAAAAAAAAAAAAAAAACAGTTTTAAAGCATAATGTTCAAAATTCAAAAAGTCAATATTCAAAAAGTTTTTTTTAAATAATGACTGATGAAAATAACATACAAATATTACAATTAAATAATATTGAAAAAGACAATGTTTTTCATTGCACAAGATCATAGTGAGGGTGTGATTTAGGGATTGAATGTCCTTCAAAATTAAAGTCAATAAATTAAAGATTTATTATTGATATATAAAATGAAATAACCTAATTTTTAAAAAAAAATTTAATGCAATTCTACAGACGTTTTATCTATTTTGAAATGGAATGGTAATTTTTATAAAGATGAGAATCATAAAAAAAAATATGAAAAATGGTTCTTTTACTTAAAAGTTTTTCCAGAGGAGGAGAAGTTATTTATTTGAAGCCCTCTCCCTAGCTATAAACCTGTCACTTTGAGATAAAAGGTTAAAAAAAAAATGAATCTGCAAGAACAAACCTTTGAATTTAGAAATGTCTTCTAAATATTCTTTCGAACAAGGCACTTCAATGGACTTAAATACCAACGATTCTTTCTGTTTGGCAAACACATGGGGATCCCCTTTGTCTGAGGAATAGTAAATGACAAAAATCAACAAAGCAGAAAGTACCACTCGGGTTAAAATCCTTTTCCAGGGAATTTGGAAATTTTGACCACCTTCATCCCTGAAAGAGAGAATTAAGATAAGCTAATCATTTACATAAATATTCAGTTTAAAAATTGATACCTGAATAACCCTTCAAGAGTAATAAAATAGAGAAGTGATTATGAGAAATAAGCAAATGTTTTTAACTATTATACAACACAGACTAAAATTTCTTTGTTGACAGACTATTTCTCCTACTTAAAAAAAAACTCCATCATTTGATTTCATTACTTAAAATATCTATTCCTTTTAAAAGAGGAATTAATTCTTCACAACAGAGAATAAAAAAATCTTTCTTAAAAAAAAAAAAAAAGAAATGAAAATTTAAATTAATGAAAAGATAAATGAAAGTGAAAAAAGACTCCTCTGGATGAAGCTCACATTTCTCAAAAGTACACTTTAACTATGTCACCTATTGCTCTGCTAGAATGCAGTAACATTTTATATGAGTTCACACCTTCTGTTCTGACCCAATTAGATGACCTTTTCAATAGCACTCTAGTAATTAAGTAATTTTGCTCAGATTTAAAGATAAACAAAAAGAACAATTTGTAAAAGTTTTTGCAAAAATTTTTATAACAAAAGAAGTATCAAAGTTATCAAGGTTTTGCATATAGCTCAATATTTCTCATTATGTGTCCACAGCTTTTAATGGTTGTAACAAAATTATTTCTTTGTTTAAAATGGGTAATAAGAAATCTTTATCAACTTGCAAGGCTAAATTTAAATCAAGACCATAAATTTATGATGCGACTCTTTATAATACAGTTACTGAACTATTAAAATGTGTGCATCTTGACGAGGTATACTCAAGGAAGAATTATGATGACTTAAAACTGTATTTAATAATCCAACGATAAAATATAATAAATAACATGCTAGTAAAAGGTAAACAGAAGAATAGCAGCAAAGATCATTGAATGAAGTCCTTACATACTCTTTTTGGATCAAGAGGGCAGCGCCACTGTTTTGCAACTAAAGACTGTCATCACGTATGATAGAAAGTGATATCGGCAGACACCACAACAATCAAAACCAAAATAATAAATATAATTATAGATGGGGTTTTAAATTCTGAAAATTTCTAATGATATTTTGAAGTGAAATTAAAAAAAAAATATTTGTGAAAATAATTATTAAAAAAATTATAAAGGCTTAATGCATAATAAAAAACAAACTAGTAAATTAAATTACAACATTGAAAAAAAAATTGTAAACAAAGCATGCTTAATTGTTTCATGTTCCATCAATTATTAAAGTTTAAAATATTTTAGTTTCAAACTTACATGGCAACTATGCATAAAATATGTTAATTTTTATGCAAAACAGGGATATTTCAAGTGCCCAAAATGCAAGTGTAGACTATTCTATATTTTATTGGAAGGTTTTAAAAATGCATATTTTAAAATGTTTCTCCTGTTTAAAGGTAATTTTATATTTTCTCTCTAAAAATATAGATTATAATAGCAAATAATGCTTGTATATTGTTAAGAATCGAAAAATAAGGTTGACACATTTTAATAAAGGATAAGTTGTACTGATTCTAAAAATTCAATACTCATTACTACTGCCATTTCAAATGATCTGATCATGTCAATAACTGACATTGTCTTATATAACAAAATAAAACTTGCATGTGATCACATTAATGATAGTTAAATACAAGTAACACTGCATATTTTTTAAAAAATTGAACTAAAAATTTTAAAAATCAAAGCTAAAATATAAGTAACTCATTCTGGGTTGAGTCTTCCGTGACAGACTCTCCACTCTTCTTTTTACTTTTGCGTTGATAAACAGCCATTCCAAAAGTTTTTACACACAAAGATTTCCTAAAAGATAATTTGATATAGAATTTAGAAAAATATTTGAGGAGTAACAAATAATCAATACATGTATTATCTAGAAAAAAATGTAGGGTGTGTCACGTGAATAATGGCGATCGATGTGCATCATGTGACTAAGGGGTCATACATAGAATATGTGCGACTGTCCCTAACAAAACTTAAAATAATCCCATACAATTCTGTTGCAGATAACATATATCTTACATTGGTTTATAAGTGCTTTTAAATTGCATACTTCTTTATGAATCACCCTATATATATACAGTAGGGAACCGATTATCCGGAACGATCGGGACCATCGCTATTCCGGATAACTGATTTTTCCGGTTTTCTGAATCGCTACAAAAAGCCGTTTTTTTATTGTTAAGCCCAACTAAAAAAATATATATATTTGGAAATAATCTTGAAAAAACGAAGTAATACACTAATGATTATTTCCAAAATGATGGTAAGGTAAACATCTTTCAAAAAAGGAAGACAAATCCTAAAATCTTATGAGGAAAAAAACATTTTAAAAAAAAAAATGTCGGGAAAATTTATCGAATTTCATTCCGGTTTTTTGGTTTTCCGGTTTACTGATTTCCGGATAACGGGTTCTGTACTGTANTATATATATAGCATAATAAATAAAAACAAAAAGAGCATGAAGAAAATTAAGAAAAACAATAAGTTTTCTTAATTTTCCGTTACCAAAATTACTTACTAAAAAATTTCTGTGTTAATTTATAATTTTTTTCATGTGCAAATCCATTTCGGGCAAATCAGTGGCATAAGTTATTTACTAAAAAATTTCCTTGTAAATTTTTTCCATGTGCAAATCCATTTCCGCCAAATCCGTGGCTAAAATTATTTACTAAGAAAATTTCTTTGTTAATTTATATAATTTTTCCATGTGCAAATCCATTTCAGGCAAATCCGTGGCTAAAATTATGTGAAAAACAGGCAAGTCATGTTTCTATCTCTTTTCTATGTTATACATATATAAAAAAATTTTTCTTGAATAAATATTTTATTTTCTAAAATTATTTATTGTCAACTTCTTTAGGTTATCCAGTATAATATTACCTTGCGCACATCCATTTTCGGGCCCATCCTTGGCAACTAACAAATCAAACGCACTTCAGTAATGCAGCAAGAACGCACTTTAATACAAAACTCCCCTAGTTACGCTTTTAGCTCAATTTACGATTCTGTTTTCATTTTTTTGCAATCTGGCAATCTCATTACGAAAATATTTTAAATCATTCTTGAAAATTTCCCGTTCATGTAAGTTCATTTGAATTCGCTGCTTGCTTTATAGATTTCATTTCATTTTTTATTATGTTTTTTTTAAATATTTTATTTTCTGTTTTTAGGTGATATATTTTTATTTATTGTGTTCTATTTTATTATTGTTCTGTTTACTTATTGTAATGTTTAAAAAACTATGAAATTATTTTTCTCTTTTGATTAACTTTTTTTATCAGCATTTTTATTATGGAACAGCATTTATTAAAAAGCATTTCTAATAAACATTATTCCTTTATTGTCACTTTTTTCTAAAAGTACAGCAATGTGAGAAAGCGAAATTAGACTTTCTGTTAGACTTTTTTCACTTTTTCTTGAAAACACAGTAATTGAAAAACTGAGATGTTTAGTTTTAAAATTTTCTTTCAAGAATAATGATGGATTTTTATTTTTCCTGTTTACCTTTTGTTTATTTGGGCTTTTTAATGATAGCATGGCATATTATTTTTAGCATTAAAATTTTGTTTTAAGAATTAGGAGGAATTTTTTTTCTCTTTGTTTTTTAGTAATTTTTATGGCTGTTAGTTAGTTTTTTATTTATCTTAAATATTTCACATGGATAAATTATGATTTTTTTTTCTCTATATGTTATATACCAATAATATAATATAATTTTGATTATTTTTCAATAATGACTAAATTTAAATATCCTATATATATACATAGCATAATAAATAAATATAAAAAACACGAAGAAAATTTTAAAAAACAATAAGTTTTATTTATTGCGCATAAGCTGCAAGTAAATAGAACTCATAAAATAAGTTCAAAATGTAGAGAAAACAAGGGAAAAATTACAGAACAATGAAAGAAGGGGATAAAAAAAAAAGAAAAATAATAATAATAATAACAAGAAACCGGAAAGAAAAAAAAATCCGAAAAAAGGACAAAAATTTTAAAAAAATCCAGAAAATAAAATATAAAGAAAAAACAGAATCAAACATTTAATGAAATCGAAAAAGTGAGTAGCGAACTCAAATGAACTTACATGAACAGGAAATGTTTCAAAAATGATTTTAAAAATATTTTCATAACAGGATTGCCAGATTGCAAAAAATAAAAACATAAGCGCAAATTGAGCTAAAAGCGCAACTAGAGGATTTTTGTATTAAAGTGCATTCTTACTGCATTACTGAAGTGCGTTTGATTTGTTAGTTACCATGGATGGGCCCGAAATGGATATGCACAAGGTAATATTATACTGGATAAATTAAAGAAGTTGACAATTAATAATTATAGAAAATAAATATTTATTTAAGAAAAATAAATAAAATAGAAAAGAGAAAGAAACATGAATTGCCTGTTTTGCACATAATTTTAGCCACGGATTTACCCGAAATGGATTTGCACAGGGAAAAATTATATAAATTAACAGAGACATTTCTTAGTAAATAATTTTAGTCACGGATTTACCTGAAATGGATTTGCACATGGAAAAATTATATAAATTAACAAAGAAATTTATTTAGTAAATAATTTTAGCCATGGATTTGCATATGGAAAAATTATATAAATTAACAAAGAAATTTTTTTTAGTAAATAATTTTAACCACCGAATTGCCCAAAATGGATTTTCACATAGAAAAATTATATAATTTAACAAAGAAATTTTTATAGTAAATCATTTTTGCCACGGATTTGCCTGAAAAGGATTTGCACAAGGAAAAATGATATAAATTAACAAAGAAATTTTTTAGTAAATATATCAACAATAATATACGATTAACTCAATAGATTTTATATAGAATTTTATTACTTTAGTTGGGTATCCATTGTTTTTTATCAAATTTTGAAAGAGTTTATTCGTTTTTTGGATAAATAAATATTACTACATATTCTTTTAATTCTATTAATTTCATTAAAAGTGGTATTTAAATATATGTTCCTAGAAACATTAGAATTCCAGGTAATTAGTTTATTTATATTAAAATAAAAACAATTTATTTTACCGTATAAATCAACAAAGCAGATATTTTCTTCTTTTATAATATCCAAATCAAAAAAATTTAAATTAATATTATCATCATGATTCTGAAGCAAGCATTATTTTTATTTTTATTATTCTTTTTTTCTCCCCTTCTTTCATTGTTCCGTAATTTTCCCCTTGTTTTCTCTACATTTTGAACTATATATATACATATGCATACATATGAAAAAAAAAAGGATTTTTTATTGATTGAAATGAATTTATATTTCGACAATTTCGACAGACAACTTTTGAAATGTTGTTTATTTTAAGTTGTTTATTAAAGTTTGTTTTAGTCAACTTTAAGTGTAGTAGTGATAACTGAACTATAAAAATATTTTACAGGATTACATGTCGTGCGAGCCGAGCGATCGAAATTCAGAAAGTATTTCAATTGTTACATTGAAGCAAGGTGTTGAACCAGAATCCTTTAAATCATTCTTTCAGAATTGGAATCCCTCTATGTGGGAGGTATACCATTAAGTATTGATAATTTTGATTTAAAACTGTTTTAATTATCTACTTTGAAGATTTTGAAAATTATTTAAATTTAAGTATCTACGATTATAACTAATTATATGTATCTTAATAACGTTTCATTTTATGTGAATACTCAAAATATGTTTAAGTGTTTTAAAAATGCTTAGTTTCATGTATGTGAAATTTTTGTTGCTCTATTTTAAACAGTATACATGTTGTAGGGGCCCTGAATAAGCCCCTTTTCTAAAATGTATTATTCAGAACTGTATAGCTACATTTTGATTCATAGCATAAGTCTATAGCATAGTAAGGATCCTTAACTTTTTGATTCCATTTTCAAAGAAAGTTGATTCCATTTTCAAAGAAAGTAAAGTTTAATGAAATATTTTGTGATTCCCATTTATTGAGCTAGTCATTGCAGGGGTCTGTTTAGAAGAAATTTGGGTCCGTTAACGGACCCTTCACAAAATATCTTTTCATAAAAACGCACCCTTCACAAAATATCTTTTCATAAAAACGGACCCTTCACAAAATATTTTAACTTCAAAACGAACCCTTCACAAAATGATTTTCTTTTAATCGGACCCTTCACAAATTTGTTTATCTTTATTGTTTTGTTAATGGAATAAACCCTTCCCTGGGGAAGGAAAAAAAGAAAGACAGATGTAAACGAACTGAGTTTTGTCTTCGGCAGACGCTTCTTCCTTTATTCGTCCGAAATGAATATTCTGTGTTTAGCAGTATAGGCTAAATATCAAATATTTGTATGTTGCATCTCTAATTTAGTAGCAGCAATTGCTGTTTTTTTTTAATTTTAATTTTTTTAATTATAATTTTACAGTGTTGAGCACGATATTGTATGTCTTAACAATTTAAAAACTCCTTTAAACAGTTTTTTGCAATAACAGGATTCTATTTGCACACATTCACAAAAGCAGGACCCTGGTTTAAAGAATGTGACTTTATTTTATATTCACAAATTATGAGTCATTTTTTCACAATTTTACAAAAACGGACCCTTCACAAAATGTCTGGACAGACCCATGATAATATTTCAAGTTATGTTTAATGTGAAGTCATGACTAGAAATTAGTGCTTACAATTTAAAAACTCCTTGAAAAAGGTTTTTTTCAATAATGNTTATATTAATTTAAAATAAGTTCATTTCACTGGAAAAAAGAGAATAATCACAAATTTTCCAATCAATAATGTTTTAAACTACTAAAATGATATATTATTACATTATCATTTAATTATGGAATAATAATTTTGTTAATTTTTTTGTAATTATTTATATTTATAGTATATATTTCAATTTTAGGAATAATTTTTATCAAAAATGTGTTTTTGTCCTCTCATCTTGGAAAATATAGGTTTTTGCCAATTTGCTTGGCAAAAACCTGTTTTTGCCAGGACGGTTTTTACCGGTATTTACCATGGTTTTTCCCACCTGTGGCAAAATCTTGCCAACCCTGTTAAAATCATTTATAAGTATACTGCAAAAAGAGGTCAATTCAAATTTTTGTAACAGCTGATCGTTTTTATATAACATTTGTATCATTTTTTATATTAAGATTTGTCTATCATATAAAAATGTGATCCCAACTTACCGTCCAAAATTTTAAGGTAGTAAAATTTAATTAATAATTTTTTCCATTATAATATTATTCAAAAGTTCTCAAAATTTAGAAACCAATCGGATAGAATAGATAAGATACTTTAATCACTTTTTTACACTTTATAAATGGCCCCTCAATTCAACTTATCAAATATTTGCAATTTTATAATTGTCAACTAAATATTTTACTTGAAAGTGGTTTAAAAAAAAGAGGCAGAATTTGGCAGATTTACAGAAAATTATTTATCTGATTTATCAATATTATATGTCAGAGGAATGAAAGAAAATTTAAAATTGATGATGATTCATAAACCTTCCTGAATTCACATGGAAAAACTTAATTAGTGTATGATCCCCAACTTCAAAAAGAGTCCACTAATGATTCGTTCTGCAGTTAAAAAAGGAGCACAAAGTTTGTATTTTAAAAACTTCCTTAAATTAATTTTTCAAAAAGAGGGCTCAAGTTTGACTTAACTTGGTAGTTATTAGAAGTAGAAGAAAAATTCAGCCATTAAATATAAATATAATCATACTATAATTGATTTTGTTGTTGTTACATACGGCTTTATTTTATTTAGAGTAATAAGAAATATTTTGATGCAGTTACTTATGATTTATAGGTATCTTTTTTTTCCCTCAGAACCTTTTCATTTGGTAAATCTTATTATGCATTGATCTAATAAAGTAATTTTAAATGTTCAATTTTTACATCCCTTTACTAGGGATACTTCCATACCAGTACCTGTTTGCACCACACAAAATGGTCCTATTACTCATGCATTTTATTATTTATTTTAAATAAAAGGAAATCACCGTTTTCTCGCATTTTCAACAGTTACGGATTTCGTTTTCCATGTGGATTTTAAAATTCCATTATTTCTCATCTGATATTATTCAGGCACTTCCAATTAAAATTGCATATATTCAACTAATCACTTTTTGAAATGTTTAAAATATGATAATAGTATCGGAAATCCATGTGGTATTTCGATTTTTTTTCAGCAGTTAACAATATTGATCCTAAAATCTCTTTTAAAGATTCAAATATATTTCAGACAATATAAAAAATTAGAATGTGCATTAGAGTATTTACTTTTTGAAGCAAAGATTCTATCGTTTTTTTTATTGTTTCGTAGTTATTATTGCTCTTCGCAAAGCTTTTACAGTTCAATATTTTTAATACATTATTTATTCCAACGAGAAAGTCTTTTTATGAAGAGACCGATTTGTGTGATTTCGTTGTTGATACTACTTTCGGTCCAGTTATTGCGACAGTTTTCATGATTTTGAATTTTGTTTTTTAATGTGATGACGATTTGCAAAATACGAGCTCGCATGTTTTTTCCCATTCAAATGCGAAAATATAACCCACATTAAAATATTTTTTTTTTCAGGTGTAGAAGGAAAAAAATCTATACATTTAAAATTGAAGAAATTATATCGAATTTGATACTGTACATGTGAGCTTTTTTTGTTAACACAAATTGCTTCTGTTACTTTAAATTAGTTACTATTAAAAACGTCACGCAGAAAGACAATGGTAGAAAGATTTGTTGAAAAAAATCTGCCCCAGGGACAATGCCCAATTACTGTTAAACTTTGTCACAAACAATGGGGAAGAAGCTTGTATGAAATCAAAATAAAAGATAGTGGAAAGAAAACATTATTAGTCACTTCGGGAAAATGTACTAACACATAGGCATTAAAGTTGGTGCAACCTGGAATTGATACGGAAATAATGTGTAAAATCAAACAATAATTCACAACAAAATAAATTGAGAATCTTAAAGTATAGGGGATGGAAGAATTTGCAACAGTTTACATCTTGCATCCATACAGAGAGTTTTGACAATTTTCTATCAACAGAAGAAAACTGATAAAAAAAAAAGGTATATACATACTGTTTGTTTTTTGAAATCCTCCAATATAATGAATATCTTTCAAAATATAAAGAAAAATATGAAAAAGAAACTAAAGCAACCGATAAATATTAGAACTTCTATACATCAAGCACTCTACCTTAAAGGTTTCCCTAATAAAAATAACAACAGATATTAAATCTGAAAAAAGAAACGACTTTTTAGGGAATTTTACGAGAATTAGATAAATTTTGAATGCACAATTTCTCTGTTTTAAAAGAAAAATAAAACTTCTCTCCGAAAATGAAACATATGAGTCTGCTTATCGCTTATAGCTCTGCGTTTCAATAGGTAAGACTTAATTTAGCCTATCAAGATTTATATGAGCTCTAAGGCTCTTCTTCGAATTCAACAAGCTTCCACCGAGTCCAACAAGAAACTCAAATTTTTTGTTCTTTTGTTTAAATTGGCTGGGTTGATATCAATGTAAGTATCAAAAATATTGATTAAACTTAAGCTTATGGTTATAGCTTGCATAGTACAAAATTATTTTCAGGCTTCTATTTATTAAGTTTTCACATTTAGTTCTATCAGAACCGTCCCGCAGTGGGCTGATCGTTAAGACACGGTTCCCAGCAGATCACCGATGTCAAGCATCACTGGCTGCGGTCAGTGTGCGGGTGGGTGACCACTTGGATCAGCCTGCGTAGGGACCGAGGGTGTGCGGTATTGGTCCTCGTTAAACTGTTCTACTGTAAAGTGCTCGACTTCGCGTGCAGGTCGTCGGGATACCGAAGCGGGGGTGCCATCCCCTCCGCAGAGGATCAAAATTGTGATGGCATGTCTTCGGATCATCCTCAGGGATGCTTCCCAGACATTGTGCAGCTCTAGTGCGACGTAAATGAACAACAACAACTATCAGAACCAATGGTAGAGTAGCACGCTTGTTTATCAACAGCAAATATGAAGCAAAATTTCCCTAAGGAAAAGACAGAAGAACTTGAATAAACGACCCAGAACAGAACATTGGTAAATCATTCGGAAACAGAACGAACATTTCAAGAACTATTTCTTAATGAACAATCCTTTCAACCAATAACTTCTGATTTCGTGATCGCATATCATTAAAGATGTGTGTATTAAGATGAAATACATTTTCTTTTTCTTTTCAATTCATTATAAATTAAAAGGAAGTTATTTAAGTCCACATTGCTTACTTCATTCCACAAAATAAATGTGATTTTAAAACGTGCGGAACTGTAATAGTCTTAGAATATTCTAGTTTTTTAATAGAATAGTACAGTGTTTCCCAAACTTATGACTTTTGTGTACCCTTTCTAAATTTTTCGTAACGCTGTGTACCATTAATACAAAATGAATGCATTTTTTACTGTAAAAAATTGCCCAAAAGTTTAAAATCACAACTGGCTGTTGATATCCCTAATTATTAACTGTTAACTCTGCAAAAAATAGCCAATAGAAAAATACGTAATCTTAAATTTTCATGACTAGCTTTGTTTTTAAATAAAATTTTGGGAAATTTTCGTTTGTTGCCAGATATTTCGCATAAGAACGCGTACCCCCGCTAAACTGTTCTCGTACCCCTGGGGGTACGCGTACCACACTTTGGGAAACACTGGAATAGTATATAATCTGTATCTATATGATTCGGAAAACAACAATAAATAATCATCCAAATTACTTGAAATAGTATCATTTGTGTTGATTATTAATAAGTTTTTTTCATTTCCTTAGTAAGCATTTTTTCAATTTTGAATGAATAATTTGAACTAGAATTCAACTATTCTGTTTTTAAGTTATATGTTAAAATTCCTTTCGGGATCTTACAATTATAAAATTTTATTGTATGGTTTGTCATCTTATAAAGTAATGAAGGGATATTTTATGATATTCCATTTGAGAATAAAATTTTCAAACAAAGAACATTGTATTTTGGAATTCCCTGGATTTATAAAGCAGGTAAGTGTTATGATTTATATAATAAAAAACTTACTTGCAATTTTTTTTTTCTGATTTGATGATAGTTCTCTACAGAATGGTTTTCAACGTCTGATTAGGAACTTTAAGATTAAAATAAAAAAATAAAAGAGCAATAAGAAATTTCTTTATTTCAATCTGTGGAACTTTTAGAATCGTTCTTTTTAATCGTAAGCACTATTTATTACCCATAGGCAAAATGGGTCTTGATTTGGATTTGATGGCGTCCGCACTTTTCAACTGTGTTCAAGAGTAATAATAAACAGTGCGCATGCATTGCTACAAAAACCGCTGCTGTTTTTCTTTTTATTTTCACTAGCAGGCATCTTTAATGTATTTATATAACAATTTAAAGTTTTTTTATATTCTTTTATTATTGACGTATTACTGACTTGACGGTGATTTTAATATAAATGCAGAAGAAGGAAAAGTATTTTCTTGAAACACAGACATAGGCAGTGTGACGTTGTATCACTTAATCTCAATTTTCTGTTGGGATCGTGACCTAAAAATTAGGCCGAACCCTGACCCCTCTCCTGTGACGCCTCACTGTCTGTCGACCTTCACGCCTGTGACCTTCGGCAGCCTTTGATGTGAACACATGGAGAATGGTCAGTTATAGTCACAGTTTGTGTATAATTGTGATTTGATTTTTGGCAGTTCATCTGTTCACTTCAAGTCCCTTTTCACCCACGATTCTGTGGCATTTTAGGTATTTTAACTTCTATCTTCAACCTTTTATATAAATATCGCCCATTTTTTTGAGCGGGTACATTGACCAGAGATTCTCGTTCCAGACTCTGTGGAGTAAGGTTGTGTTGTGACCGAGCTCCCTAGCTACAATGTCATCCTATCACAGATTTGGACGTGGAGGCAAAAGGACGGCTGCTAAGCCACTCACCCATCATGCATCACTCGAACACAGCTCCAAGAAGGGCATAGACGCTATGATCGAAGGATATAAGACACTTATGAAATCAAACTATGTAGAACACTCCATAAAGGAAATTAGAATTTTTGCAGAAAGAAGGATGATGTTATTCCCTGAGGACACTGAATTCTTAGAAAATTGGAAAGACTGGGAGACCAAGGCGATTGAGACCCTAGCTAAGACCAGAGATTCTACTAAGACTGAAACCCCCAGACAAACCGAGACTTCCGAGACTTCAGTGGAAAACATGGATACTCAAATCACGGATATAGACGTATCTACTCCAATCATTGAGCCTGAGATACAACCACAGACCACCACTCAGATGGATACAACAGATATTCCCAATCTCTCCGAGAGAAAGATAAAGAAAAGGAAGAAAAAATCCAAGACTAGTGTAAACCAAACAACATCAGCAGACTCAGAGGGCACCAGCCCAAACCCAGGTACAGCTCCCGACATCCCAGTGCCGGCAGAGTGCGAGAAGGAGGCCGAACAAGTTGAACCCACCACTTCTAGCACCAAAATTACGGACTCAACTCCTAATAGAAAAATGAAAACCCTCATCAGAGGTCTTCAAACTGATACAGATTTACTCGAATTGGAGAAAAACCTTAAAGACTTCGGACTTCTCCCGGAAAAAATAGTTCAGCTGCAGCGAAGAAGAGGGGAGGAGCTTAGGCCCCTCCCACTTTTTCTCATCATCCAATGGGATACAGCCAGCAACAGAAACATCTACAACATTAAGACTATCCTAGAAAAGCCAGTACAGATCGAGCGCTTCAGAGGCGGCAGATTCCAGATCCAATGCTTCAAATGTCAGAAATTTGGGCACACTCAAAGAAATTGTACTGCCACAGCTCCTGCCTGCATGAAATGCGCCAGAGAACATTACACGTACGAGTGTACAAAACCACCTACAGAACCAGCGACCTGCATCAATTGTAATGGTGAGCACCCAGCCTGTTTTACAGGCTGCGGTGCAAGACCCAGGAGGATCCCTAAAGTTGAAAGACAACCCAAGAATGTCACTAACTCCGCAACCAGATTCCTCAAAATTTTTCAAGAAATGAAAGAGCTACTCAAGGACGAAGAGCTAGTGAAGCTACTTAGATCTCTACTCCCTGAGACCAAGAATTAGAGCCCACAAGTCTACCACTCAC